AGATGGATGACCGATTGCTCTTCTTGATACTAATCTTAATGCCAGAAAAGAAAAGCCTCACTTTTTAAGGCATTAAACAAAAACCAAGGGGTGAACTTGCCAAAACGTACGAAGAACGGTTGTGCAGGAATTGGGTATGTCTAGTCTAACAAAGAGAGGGACTCACTTCCTAACGCTGAGGACAAGTCTCAAGTCTTCACTTGATACTTTCAAGAAGAGACTGGGCTGCCATCCATCAGAAATGGTGTAGGGTCTCCTGCTTGGGCGGGGGGTTGGACTAGATGACCTAGGAGGTCCCTTCCCACTCTGATCATCTGTTATCTGTAATTAACAGAATAAGCTGTGGGTCCTTCATCACTGGAGGTTTTTAAGAAGAGACTGGACAATCATTTGCCTGAGATTGTATAGGATCTCCTCCTTGAGCCGGGGGTCGGACTAGAAGACCTCAAGGTCTCCCTCCCAGCTCTGTTCTGATGGACATGATAGCAGTTCCAATATTTGAGGGGCTGAAACAAAAAAGAAGGGGAACAACTTATTCTCCAAAGCACCTGAAGGCCAGACAAGAAGACATAAGGATGGAAACTCAAGGAGAGAGAAGCAATGGAGAACCAAGTAGACATTTCATGACAGTGAGAACAATTAACCCGTGGAATGGATGGATTCTTCAGAAGTTGTGGGTTCTTCATCACTGAAGGTTTTTAAGAAGAGACTGGATGGCCACTTGTCTGAAATGGTCTAGGATTTCCTGCTTGATCAGGGGCTGGACTAGAAGACCTCCAAGGTTTTTCCAGCTCTGTTAATTCTGTTGTTCTGTACATTAGGATGTACAATAGGTTCACCTTGGATAGTGACATTTAGCCTACTATAGGAGGAAAGATTTGCACCTCCTCAGGGTTTCTACAGCTCAATTTAGAATAGAATTCTTTAGTGGCCAAGTGTGACTGGACACACAAGGAATCTTGTCTTGGTGCAAATGCTCTCAGGGTTCATAAAAGAAAAGAGACATTTGTCAAGAATCAAGAATCATAAGGTACAACACTTAATAGTCACAGGGTGCAATAAGCAATCAATTTACCTCACGTGGTCACCACGCTCTTCCCTGAATCCACCTCACCACTTCACCCCAGCTTTGAAAGCTGGAGAGGGCATCTCCATCCAACTCAGAAAAAGCTCCATTGAACTGGCCACTTCCCAAGCAGGCCATTTACTAAGAAGTAGAAAAAATAGAAGTCTCTTTATTTAGTATGTATTTATTCAGTGTAAGCATTAATCATAGGATTGGATGAGGGTTCAGCTGAGGGAAATGCCAAGGAAACCATAAAATCCCAAGAAAACCGAGACGAAGGGACGTGAAATGCGCAGGCAAAGATGGACACCAATCAAAGAGAGCCCAAAGCCAGAAGAAATAGGAAGGTGTTTGCACGTTTTTCCCACCCCAGAAGGTGAAAAGCAGTAAGGAAGGTGAGAGGATGGAGCCACCGCAGAGAGAAAATCCTACTGCTTTCTCCAAGTCCCGTGAAACTTATAAGGGAAGGAACTTACAGAAGTGCTTCCTGAGTTTTTCCAGCCTTTTATGTATTGCACTTATATTCTAAGTCCCTGTTGTGGTTAGCCGGCAGCAGGTGTGGACGGCTGAGGAGAGCAAGGATTCAGATGATAAAAGTCAGACCTCAATGATGAAACCTTTGCAGGAAGCAATGTAGTTCGATCGGTTCCGACTCCTCCTTGAAGCTCTGTGTACACCGGTTGGTCTTTTCTGGTACTTCGGTTGGTGTCTTTTATAATTAATCAGATGTTTTTGGCAGCATTCCTCAGCACTGAAAGGCAAGTGCTTATCTTGGGGAATTGTTTAAGATTAGTTTTGGTGGGGAACGAAAGCAATTCCCAGCATTGCAATAAAATAGGTTTTGCTTTTAAAACAAGTTTGCGATTACTTACATTTGACGAAGCCTGGGTCAGAACTCCAGGAGCTTGATGGTATGGTTGCTTATTCCTACATGTTATTATCCAGCGGTGGGATCTTTCCTGTTCCACTACCGGTTTGGTGATCGCGCGCGCGCGTGCACCTAACTTAGCTTTCCACACACCAGCTGTGGCCTGCAGTACCAATCAACTGAGGATAAAGAAAAGCACAGGGGGTAGGTGGGAGGGCCAATCCTGCGCTTTTCTCTCCTTTCTCCTCCCAGCTGATCATCGGAGCTTTTTTTTTTTTTCCACTACCAGTACAGTCAAACCGGTCCAAACCGGTAGCATTTCACCACTGTTTATAACACTCCCTCCTTCATTTCCCCCCCTCATAGCAGCATCCTTTTCAAGTAAGCTGGGTGGACTTTCATGCCTCAGGATGGATTTCATCTTGAATCTGCCCCCCAGGGTCCTGTCAAAGGCCGGAGAAACCAGGAGATTCAGGCAGTTCAAAGGAGTACAAAGATTTAAGGCAAGCTTCAAGCTCTCTACAAGAATCTGGCCAACTAACAGCCAAGGGAAATGAGTGAGGGATAAGAAAGGCACTCAAGTTGGGCTGGACTTGCAAGCGCCTGGGGACTTGTGACTTGACCTGCTTTGACCAGTGGTGAAACGGTGCTTAATGGTTCGCCCTGGTTCAACCGAACCAGTAGTTTAAAAAAAAGCCCCGATGATCAGCTGAGAGTAGAAAGAAAAGTGCCCTCTCACCCGTCCCCTGTGCTTTTCTGTTCTTTATCCTCTCAGCTGATTGGTGCAGCGGGGTCTCAGCTGGTGTTTGGGAAGCTGCGCGCATGCGCACTTTAGGTCCATGCGCGCGCACACAGGTTCAAAATGCGCAATCACTGAACCAGAAGGGAAACTGGTAGAATCCCACCACCGGTTTTGACACCTCCCTGGGGCTCAGCCTGCTCATCGCCTACAATTCCTTAACTCAACATATGGCACGATGATTTCTAGTCACTAAATAATAATTTAAACCAGGGGCGTCTAACCTTAGCAATTTCAAAACCATGCTGGCTGGGGAATTCTGGGAGTTGAAGTCCACAAGTCTTACAAGAGTTGCCAAGATTGGAGACCTCCAATCTACAGGAAAAGCAATGGCACAGTTTTGTTTGCAACCATGCAGGAACACCGCGTGCAAATGACTCAGGATGCACATCTTGATCAGTTCGGGATCAAGATAAATCATCTAAGGATGAATCATCGGGAAACAAGACGTTCTGAATGCGGCTCCTTTTGAACTTTAATTGCTTCTGGCATCTTCCAGAAGGCAGCTGCCTAGACGGCATCGGGAGAAGAACTGCAAAATTTGCAAGCAGGGAAGGCCACCGTCATTTCCTCAGAAGTAGACATTGTTGAAAAGTAGGGCAGAGGAAGGAGGATCTACAGCAAGCCCAAGTGAAGTGAAGGGAAAGAAAAGGAAGAAAACATGGATGCAACACAGATCGTTGGGTGCACCAGCCTCTTTTCCAAAAAAAACCCCAAAAACTGCTGATGGTACAGTAGAAAATATTTGGTCTGCCCAGATCTAGATGCAGTGCCATCATTTTCCACTCACCGCACTTTTGTTTTCCTTAATATAAATCGGACTGCTGCATTTTATATTCTGCCGATGTTCTGTGCTGCAGCAATGTAGGTAGGTAGGTAGGTAGGTAGGTAGGTAGGAAGGAAGGAAGGAAGGAAGGAAGGAAGGAAGGAAGGAAGGAAGGAAGGAAGGAAGGAA